AAATTTCTTCTTTTTTCGCAGTCGTGTATAATAATCTTTATTTTCTAAGTATATTTTTATTTCGCAAGTCGAATTATTTTATTATTTTTATTCTTAATTTTCTATATATACTTTTAAGCGATTTACGTGTGTGTCAGTAAATTTTTCATAATACTTATTTGATATCGTGACATCCCTTCCCCTTTGGGAAAAGGAAATGAGGCTACGAATTTCCTTAAATTTTATTATACATATGTTTCCCGGATCATAATTATTTTATAATCGTTTTTTATTTATTAATTTTATTAATCGTCTAATGCTCGATAAATTGTTTTAATCGGTTCGCGTGTGCGCGCATTGTTTTTCAGCCTATTTTTATCGTATAATTAACATCTGACTGAGTTCTTTTCTAATATCACGTATGGTCCTGTCCATAACGCGTCTAATTTTTTCGATCGTCCGCGGCGTAGCGTTTCGTCATATAGTAGTACTTTGTCTCCTATACGGGATTTAATTTCTTGCGTTAACATTTTACGTATTTGTTTATTTATTTCTTTCTTATGTTTTTTGGGAAGTCGGTACGGTCGTACGTTTACGGTTGCGGAGTCAGTTCGTATTGTTATCTCATGCGCTGTCCTTGTTGTATGAGTCAGTTCTCCGTCTGAATGGTATACGTCGCTAACTTTTTTGCGTATGTTTAATAATGATCTTCTTTCTTCTTGGTTTGAATGAATGTCTCGTATGAGATTCTTGATTTTTCCTTCACGCGGTAGTTCGATTTTTTCGTTGCTCGTCGCGTGGTTTATATTTAGCGCTTCATTAAAGTCTTCTGTTAATTTTTCAATTTTGACATACGGTACTTGTATTTCTACTTCGTTCTCCGTAGTGTTTATGACGTTCACGGGGCACATGTATTCGCGGGGCTCGACAAGGCAGCTCCCGATGAAAACCCCTGGCGCGGTTTCTTCTGCTTTTATTATTCCAATGCGATTTTGGTCGGTTACTGCTTGGATAATAGTTTCGCTGCGAGGTGTCAGCGTTAATTTTTTGTAAGGGTGGAGTTTTAATGTTACTCCATCAACTTGAAGATAATTCTTTTGATCGCTTTTAATTTTATGCTTTTGTAGGAAATCCATACCGAGTATTCCTGCATAGTCGATAGGGAAGTCGTCCTTCACGATGTACATGGTGTGTTTTATTTCTTTATTTCCTATCAATACAGTTGCCTTTATTTTTCCTATAGTTTTGATTTGATGACCCGTCACTCCTTATATTGTTGCCTTTATTTTTCCGATAGTTTTGATTCGGTGACCTGTCACTCCAGTGAGGGCCATCGGCTTCTCGGTTATGAGAGTTTCGTCCTTCAGATTTCATACTTTAATTAGCGTTAGTGTAGCGCCGGTATCAAATAATAAATTTATACGCCCCTTTGTCATTTCTTTTATCGGAAGCGTTATTAGTCTAAGACCGTTCGTATGATTTCTGGTTACTTGTGTAATTTTATGCACTATTGCCGGTCGCTGTCTTCGCGTCTTCGCTCCTTCTTCTTCTTCGCTGCTGGCAGACGATGCTTCCTCGCTATCGCTATCTCGCTTGCTTCTCCTTTGGTTTCTCTCCTTTACGGCGAAGTTTACTTGCTTTATTTTTCTGTCTGTTTCGCGTTTCTCGCATGGTTGCGTATTTTTGTCGGGTCGCCCGTTAAGTGTCCAGCACTCTTCGCGATTATGTCCCGCCTTTTTGCAATACGTGCAAAATTTTTCAACGGTATTAATTCCTGCTGGCTTTTCGGCACGAGGCAAGGAAAATTTATTCGCATATCGGCTTGTCCGACAGTTTTGACCGATGTGGCCTATTTTTCCGCATTTATCGCATTTTGGTGCGGGATTTTGTAAATTTCGCGACGAGTAATGATTCGAGTCGCTTTTCTTGTCGCGTTGATACGCGCGGTGTCGGTCGTTTAGACCTTTTATTTTTTCCTCGGAACTTGCTCCGGCAATGGCCTCTTGAAGCGTTCGGAAATGCTGCGAGCGCACTAATGTATTTATTTCTTCGCGCAATCCGATTTGATAATTCGCTAGAACCTGATCTCTAACGTGTTCTAGGATGGCTTGTTGTTGAATGGAATTATGATTTTTTCCCTCTTCCATAGAGTCGTATAGTTCTATTGCTATATCTTCCACTCTGCGACCGAATTCTTGCGCGGTTTCCGTCGGTTTTTGTTTCAACGAATTGAATTCGAGTTGTAGGTGCGCGGTGCTTCTGCGGCTTAGATATTCCGTTTCTAGCTCGTCCTTCAGTTGTGCGTAACTGGTAATTTCCCTGTTTTTGAAAGTTTTCATCGCCTTTCCCTTGAGTTTTGTGCATAACATAGCGTCTAATAGAGTAGATGCATCCGAGGGGTGAGTATGCCGCATGGCGTAGTCACTAGCTTGTATAAATTCTTGCACGCGATCTCGCGAGGTGCCGTCCATCTCGGGGATCATGTTACGTGCTTCTTTCAATGTTAAAAGATGAAGGGATCCTCCGGGTTCGCGGGGTATGTGTATTAGCGAATTATTTGTATGCTGGCCGGAATCCCGTAAAATTCTGCTGTCATGTCGGATGGATCGTACATTTCCTGGTTCGCGGTTAATAGCAAGTTCCATTTGGTCTATCCTATCTTGTAAACCGGCGATTGCTGCTATCAATCGATCTAGGACTTCGTCCTGTCTATTGGTTACTCGCGCTTCTATTGAATTCTGCGTGTCGTTTTCGTCTCCGTCTAATTGAAAGGTCACTCTTCTTCCGTGCCTATTCTCCGGAGTATCGCGATTTTGCGGGTTGATTGAATTTTGGGCGTTTTCTTCGCCTGAGATTAATAAGTGTTCAGGGGTTTGGTCCCTGGGTGGAGTTCGCGGCGTCGTCATGTCACGGCTGTTTTGAGTAGTCTCGTCTGTGTCAATTATATTTTTATCGCGTTTTGTCGCGTCTTGTTTTATTGAGTTAAAATCGTTTAGATCTAACTGATATTCGCGATTTATTATCACGTAAGGGGGTAAGTTTTTATCGTTGTCGACTGACTGATTTAAGTTATCGGTTATGTTATCGCGCGCGTTACTAGTTAAGTTTAACGGCGGTTCGCTATTTGCTCGCTCAGCGGTGTCGATTATTAACCTACGGTTACGCGGGTTAGTATTCTGTGTGTCTCTTGTCTCAGACATGCACAGTTGTATCGCTTACATGAATTCGACTTACATTAGGAGAAACGCTCGCGTCATTGTTGCGCTGCTTGGCTCGCTCAGCTGTTCGGATGTGAAGTTCTGCGGAGTTGGCAGTCCGTGTCAGCTGTCGATGTCGTGTTGTCTCCT